TGGGTAATTGGTAATTTTTAATAGAGGTCGGATGGATGGAGAAAAGCAACGGATATTTTTGAATTTGTTGTATTGTTGTATGACGGCCTGTGAGTCCGTATAGATATGGATACGGCAATATTTAGGCGCCACGAGAATGGCTGTGAAGATTGCTTCTAACTCCGCCGATGATGAAGACGGGAATGTAGTAGCGAACGCTGAGGAGTAGGAAACCATTGGAAAATTCAGGTTCGTTTGTAGCCAAGCCAGTCCTATTCTAAACTGTAGGAGTACCCAAACCCATAAGGGATCCATCTGTATAAAACGTTAATTCTTGAGCTGACTCAAATTGTTGTGAAAGTGTTAATAAATTATGAAAATGCGAACTAGAGACATAATTATAAATTAAAGAAGGAGGAGACAGACGTTGATAGTTCATTAGAGGCCTATAAGACGATGAAATGTTAGCATAGGTATATATGTGACTTGCCATATCCTTTATGAACAGTAGTGACCAATAACAAATGTGGTTCTTAATCCCGTGGTTTATTGGAACATTCACACAAATCCGATAGGAACTGCAAAAACGCAGTTGTACCATTTGAGTTCCAGTGAATTTTTTTTGAACAACGTGGGGTTATGATGCAGACAGCCTTGGCAACGTTGTAGTGTAATCTCGTTGTTGATTATTTGATAAGTGCAGTGTATGATATCTGCAAAGCTTCCTGATGTTTTTAAAATCTGTCCAAATATTAAGTTATCGATTGTTTGTTACCATAAAGTAATGTAAGAAAACTTATTGGTGTTTATATTGTTGGGCAATTGAGTAAAGTTATGAGTTTATTCGTATGCTATTGATGTGTCAGGAGGTAACTGTTGATTTTCATCTACTCTCAGTGCTTCCTTTATAACTAGGTACCAGATCAGGATTCTACCTTTGTTCAGTATTGATGGAAAGAATCGTAGGTCGTTCATACTGTACAAATGTTTGCGGTCTTTTGTTAAAAGTTGCTCCACAAACATAATGGACATTTTTCTTAAAGCAGGTGTAAGTTTCCTATATCTATTTGGTATAATGGACTGTATCGAGGTAGAACCACCTAGTATACGCCTTTGGACGTGTTCAGGTGGAACTAATTTCAAATTGAGTTTTTTCATATCACACAATAGACCTGGGATCCAATCTTTGAAGTGTTTTGGGTTATTGAAGGGCTAATCTCTTAAGGAGACGAGGGTAGTCATTCCTGTAATTGTATTTGTTGGAGTCGTATGTGGGTGGTTTGACCTAATAGGCCACTATCATTTATAGAGTATAGAATTGCATTGCACAGAGCTTGTGTGTGTCTATGATGTAAATGAATGATATCATAGAATAGTTTAGAGTAGAATAGACATGATGGGGTATCTCTTGGAAGGTGAAGTTTCTTCTTGAAAAAGGATCTAAAGGGTCTAATTATGCAGTCTGAAGCACTTTCAGAAAGGTGTACGAGCTGTGTACAATATTCAACATGTGGGATTATTACTACATTGTATGTGTAAATGAGTTGTTTATCTGTTAGCTTTTTATTAGCTAGTATTGCTATGGCAGATTTCACGTCTTGTACGGCCTGATTGATGGTAAACATCTTATTGCATCGCAGTGAAATCCAAACGCCAAGGTATCGCACTGAGTTGTTAGGTTTGATTGAAGTTATTACATGATCATAATCATGTACGTTGGTGATAATTGTCTGGGTGTCTGATAAGTTTGTCAAAAGGTCCGACTTAGCCCAGTTAACTTGTATGCTGTTTAGTTCGTAGAAGCTGTTGGCAATGTTGATTATATTACTTAGGTCATCCTTTAATCGAGCAATTCAAAGTGTGTCGTCCATAAATGCTAATACTGATGTTTTACATTGGAAGCTGTTATAAGATTCCGTTCTTACATCTGGTTTCCACCTGACTGACATGTTATATCCTAAGTCCGAGGATTGTACCTTGCATAAGAGTGGATTATAATAGATGCACCATAAGAGCGGAGAGATGATTTCACCTTGGTCTATACCCGAGAAAACTTTATATGTATCAGTGTTACCGAAGGCCGTGAAAACTTGATTTTCTCGAGGGACGAACATGTTAAGAATGAAGTATATGAATTCTTTGGGTAGTTTGAGTCTTTCCAAGGCTCTGACTAATATAAAAACGTTAATCCGATCGTAGGCTTTGATTAGTTTGATTAGAGCTTTCCTTGGACACTTTAGAAGCGTGATAGGCCGAGTATTGTTCAGGTCATATTCCTATGGTTTAGGTTTGGGGATTGGATAAATGTATGCTAAGTTCTACCTATTCGGTAGTGATGAGATTTTTAAACAACCACAAATGATGTGCCAGAAAAGTTTTTTGGCGAGCAGACTGAGGTGTTTTAACATTTCATTGTGAATCTTTGAGGTACCTGGTGCTTTACCATCAGCTAAGGATTTTATAATATTGTACCATTCATCTGCCGTAAGAGGTGACATTAAAGACCTATATATATTGGGGTTGATGTTGGAGATCAGATTGTAAATAGAGCTCCATTCCTCCAGAATCACTTTGTTTTCATGGGTAGTGCCAGCCGCCTTCTGGAAATGTTCGTTTATGTTAAGTTTGACAGCACTTTCTTCTGTGAGTAAATCCTTGGAATTCCTTGATAAGCAGCGGTCAAGTACTATGGTTCTTCTCGAACGATTTAAGGTGGAGTCTAACATTTTATCAGATTGTACAGCGTAGTTTTCAAGTTTGTATTTCTTCTCGTGCAGTTTAGCTTTACAATGAATTATGTTGATCAGTAAGTTAATGTCAGAGAGCAGAAGGTTAATGAAATTAAATGGATAATCTGAAGTAGAGTGAGCGGTGACTAAATTAAGTGAGTGCGCAATATTGATGTAGGTATCATATGACCGAGACTAGGAGACCGGAAAAGATGCCTCATTTTTGATTGAGCATAACAACTTATTGAATTTGTGGAGATCTTTTTGTTGTGCATAAAGTTTGGACAATCTAGGGGTCTCAGGTATTTAAATTGTCCTGTTGATTTTCGAGTGGGAATAGTAGTTTCAGCAGCTTTAATCAGTAAATCCTGGAACTGATCCCATTGTTTGTTGAGCAAAGTTTGTGTCCAAAAAGTGTTGACATTCAAGGTTTTCAGTGAGCAGCTGTTTAAGAGTGCATCAAATTTGGTTCCAATTTTTGGTCATCCATTTTGTCGAAGTCAAAACTTATTTTCGCCTGTATTTTTCTTTTGTTAAATTTGATATTTAAGAAGTTAGCACACTTTGTCATGACTGGCAGATGGTCGGATACATCTGAAGCTATCAGAATGGTAAAACAATCCAGTATGTTGACAGAAATTTCCGTTGATGTCCATACATAGTCAATTCTCAAAGTGTATTAACTATTAGTATACGAAGGAAAGCCAGTTCTTGCGCAGTCATGTTTGAAGATAAAGGCATCAAACATAGACATTCTGTGCAATGTGTTGAAATACTTGAATGCATTTATCGGGTTGTGTTGGCGATCCATATTAGCATTAAAATCCCCTAGTAAGGTCACATGATAATCTAATGATAAAGCTTCTTTGATCCATTTCGTAAGTATATGTTGAACTTCTTGTCTGGTTTTCAAATCTGCAGGTGGTAAGTAACAGTTAAAGATACGCAATTTTTGTTTGTTGGCAAATTGTAAATCCACGTAAATCAATCGATCAAGCTTTGTATCGTGTTTAAAAACATGATA